ACCTGATGTTCCCACCAGACACGAGCAATGCTTCGGAGACATCGGGGGTTGAATACAGAAAGTTGATTAGCATCCTCAACGCGGAGAGGCCAGGTCTCGCAACCGTAAAGCAAAACGCTATGAAATGTGGCGACGTACACCCTTCCTTTATGGGATAGTCGAATGCCATGGCGGTGCCACGTGTCGCAGGTTGGCGAAAGCTGCTCTAGCTTTCGCTATTCGTGATTTGATCTCCTCTCCAACACCAACACCAGCTGCGATCAAGCTCCCGAGGTACTTAAAGCTCTCAACTACTTGCAGCTGATCACCACAGTGGGTGAGTGCAGGCAGAGGCTCCTGTCAGTCTTAAACAGGCTCTTTGCACTTGAATGGTGCGAAGCACATACCATACCTGGATACCTCGCCAAGCGGTTCAAAGCGTCTTGGACTGCCTGCGTGTTGTCACCCAGCTAGGCGATGTCATCGGCTTATTGTATATCCAGAGCCCCTGGGAGGAGTTCGACTCCCTCGTTTGATAGACCGGACAAAGTGTTCTGTAGAACATCCTCCATGACAAAGTTGAAAAGGAATGGGGATATAGGGCAACCTTACCGAACTCCACTGGAGACGGCGAAAGGTGGCGAAAGCTGCCCATAGGCCCTAACCCAATCTGAGGTTTGACGATACAACTCTTTGAGGATCGACAGATACTTATCAGGTACTCCATTCCTCAACAAACAGTTCCATAATGCGGTCCTATCGAAGGAGTCAAAGGCCGAGCGGATGTCTAAGAATACAATGGCCTTTGGTCTTTGATAGACATGACGATGCTTTGGCAACTGTCGGAGGGTAAAGATTTGATCGATGCATCCACGACCGGCGTGAAACTCAGCCAGCCCCTCGCGAATCTGCTCCTCAGGCGTAGTGTACAATCGCCAGAGAATGACGGACGCCAACAGCTTTGACTCTATCGGGGTTAGGCTTATACCCCTATGATTGGCGCAGTCCTTGCGCGGGCCCTTTTGGAAGATGTTGACAACAGTCGATTCCCCCACCAGGAGGGGACCTGCTCAGTGTTGCAAACTTTAGAAAGCAGAACTTGTAGTTCTCTAACAAGCTTGATTCCACCATTTTAAATAGAGTAGACTTGGATCTCCTTACGGATTTCCGCTTCAGAAAGTGAGTCTGTTGTGACAGACCGTGGGACATGTGCCGGAATTGCTGTGTGAAAGGCTGACTTTGGTTGCCAGCTAAACTGTCTTGAAGTGCTCCGCCCAGCGTCCAAGACGGCGCTGTTGATTGTGAATGGACGAACCGTCAGCTCCGCAGATTGTTTCGCTCACACCCAAGGCTTTCCTACCGGTGACTCGGATGAGATGGAACAGCTTACGGGAGTTTCCCATGGTGGCAGCACGTTCCATCTCTGGCGCGTGTTGAGACCACCAGATCTCGCGTTTTCTGCTTAAACTTGTGTTGAGATTACGAGTCGTATTTCATTATGCTCGCTGCCGGTCAGAATTGGTCGGCCTGCGTCGAGAAGGCATAGAGATTCCGCAGAAATCCAGGGTGTCGCGGCACGGTGTGTCAGACCACAACTAAACCAGCAGAATGCAGAGCATTCTTGATAGGCGACCAGTGCTGGGTAACGTCATCGGGTGGAGTTGGTTCTAGCTTTTCAGCTAACGCGTTCTGAAAGACAGTTAGGCCTGCTGCTTGAGACAAATTATCGCAGTATAATCGTCGCTGTGTCCTGCGTTTGAAACGCCCACCGAAGCACGTGGACATCTTAGCGCATACTAATGCATGGTCGGATTCGAGGGGAGAGCTCCAGGACGATCGACAGTCTTGTACACAACCCCGCCATTTGTGGCTTATAGCGATGTGGTCGGTCTGCGTCCGTCTCTGACGCGAGGAGGGCGGACGCCAGGTGGTGTACCGGCAGTTGGAGCGTCTGAAGTCCGTACTAGCGAGGAATAGACTGTGATCGGAACACAGCCAATAGCCGTTTTCCGAGCGACAAAAATCTAGTCTGGAAGGGCCACCCAGATGCGCCTCACTCGACGTCATTCGGCCTACTCTAGCGTTCATATCTCCTGCTTATATCACGATATCAGCCCGATTCGCCTTACGCAAGAGGTCGTGCAGTTTTTGGTAGAAAGTATCTTTGGCTGTATCTGGACCACAGTCCGTCGGGGCGTACGCAGACACGACAAACAGGTTTCGTCTATCGGAGCAACGGCTGCTTACTTTGCAAGAACGTCCAAGTTTCACTGCGAATAACCTTCTGTCGACTGGGAACCAGTCCAGGAACTCGGCTTCAGCTCTGTGAATGAGAGCCATGCCAACGCCAGCAAGACCGGGAGCTGCACCCTTAGGGTCTTCAGAGAGGCGTAAGCGAAACTTCACTGGTGCGTTTGATAGGGACGTCAATCGGATGATGGAGCTGGAGTCTTAAATGCGAGTCTCTTGGATACGACATACATCGACAGCTAGGGTCTCGAGTGTACGAGCTAATATATATATATAT